CTGATAACATATCATGATTCATGCCAAAAGTACATAGCCAAACTTCTTGAAACATTAATAAACTGTTATTAGTATTATTGTAGATGTACCATATCAAATATTTCGTTTTATTTCGATGAGATCATAAAGATCTTAAATTTCTCTCTAAACATGCAAGTTCTCAGCCTAACCAGATGTTCACCATGTCAAAACATCAAAATAATAAATTTCATTGTACTTTTGTATCACACATTAATTTATTGTGTTAAATTCATTGAATTGGAGATTTTAAATTTTTAAAAACTAATCTGTGATTATTTACCAATTAAATATACTTCTTTAATACTTGATAATTCATAAAATCCTAGTAGATATTGAATAGGTTCATAAAACAAGATATTACACATAATGGCTCTAAATTCATGCTAATAGAGCTTGTTTAATGAGACTTATCATATTAATGATAATTCCTACCTTAACAGATAAGTGTTGTCTAATTGGATTCTATTTGTGCAAGGCCTAATTCCATCCCTGATATAGCAGACTTTTAGGGATGGATAATTTTAATGGAATCTATCCTAGAAGTATTTTTCGCCTGGAAGGTTCATACCAACGAATTTAACTGCCTGGGTCTTCGTGCGAGTTTTTATCGCCTATAACAGATAGTCTATCACCAACTTCGTAGTTACGTCTAATCTCCTTGATAGTAGTTAGACCCCAATGTTTACCAGTGAAATCCTCATCAGCGGATTCCTCATCAGGGTCTTCATCAAGTTGATTAGCTTGTTGCAGAACAGGAGGAACAGCTTCGAGATGCTTTATTCTCTCACCCAAAGAAGTGATGGCGTTGAAAATAGCATCAAGGTTCTTTTCAGAACCAGCTTGATTGTTATCCAAGGTTTTGCTTGTTGGGTCAACCACAGAGGGGAGTGAAGCTGAGCTACCATTGTCAGTTACTGGGATGTAACCTGACTTGTAGGTAGAAGTTGAAGATTTGCTTGCTGAAACTCTTTGACGAATGTTGGAGATATTCGCTTTGCTTGGTGTTTGAACTACTACAATAGCTGCCAAAAACTTTACAATTCAGGTTAGAACTACTACAATAGCTGCCAAAAACTTTACAATTCTTTTTGAGACAATTTTACCAGCCCTTAGAAGTTATTATTATGCATTGAGAGTTGGAAATTGGAATGAATTTTCATTATCTAGAGATGTATTAACATACCTATTTATTTTGGGAAAACATAACTTATATAGGAATGCAGAAATATTCCAATCTTTGTTATTTGAATTTTGGAAGAAGAAGTCCAAAACGTTTCATGACTTTTTTACGGAAAATTTTACTATGTTCTCCGAAGAAATTGGAGAAATTGCATTTGGGGTTATGGCTGCGAATTCCAAAAATTATACTGAAGATAAGATTTTAGATTACAAAAATAAGAAATTTGTAATGCTAAACAAGACGTTAGAATTGAATGAAGTTTACAAGGGAAAATGCATTCATGGTTATGATGGATTATCTGTCAATTCATCAGAAGTTATTGCCTGTAGAAATGAATTGAAATTGATTATTGACGAATTGAACAATGGGAGTTCTGAATATGGTGAAGAACTAGTGTGTTTTTATACAAAATTATTAAAATATTATTTTAAAAATTATGCTCAAAAAATAGTCTCAACATCATGTCATCATTAAGGCAAAGTCCCACCCATACCCACCCTTAATTAGTATTTACAATTTTTCAGCCTTTATTTCGCTCATTAGCACCCAGTAAGTGGGCTAATTTCAGAGTGCGGCTGTGTACATTCAAGATGTGCAATTTTTACATTTATTCACTAACTTATTTTTTGGATGACAGTTTCTAATAGATTCGAATCATTTTATTTTTCATTCCATTTGTTTCAGAAAATTCATATAGATTTTTATATATTAATGGTGATTTTAGGACTTTCTATTTGTTATTCATTTACTTTTTGGTGATTCTTCCAATGTATGCAGTTGCTTTTCACTTTCTTACTCAAATTGACTACTTTAGTCTCGAAGTTTCGAATATCCCAAATTGGAAAGTTCTTCTCCTTCAATTAGCTTTCTGTTTCTTCATGGAAGACACAGGTTTTACAATTTATTCACATACTCTATGTTTTTTCTTATCTTTAGCTTCAAAACTATCGATAAGTTTTTCATAATTTTGAGACTTTAATTTCTAGGGACCTGCTAAATAAAGATTTATATCCTTTAAAGCAGGTTCCAAGGTTGATTCACTAATTGGTGTCTCAATCCTTGAGCTTTTAATCCATTTGTCTTAATTTATTATTTTATTATTTTGTGGTTTTAAAAACATGATATTTTCAAGGTACAAGATGTAACAATTGCTAGAAAACAATACAAGCTGAAGGATACTTTAGTTGAATTAGATGTGAACAAAGAGGAAAAATTGTTTTTAGATGATACTGTTTTGGAGTTTAACAGATCCTTCATCAAAGCAAGGAAAAACTTTAACAACAAGAAAAAGACAAATGGTTTTAACGAGGTTCTTAGAGCTATGGATTTAAAATTAACTGGAACAAATTGATGTTGAAAATAAAAATATATATATATATATATATATATATATTTATGATCATTTAACTTCCTCGAGTTTTTTGTGTAAATTCATAAATAAATTTCCGATGTTTATTACAACTAGGTAAAAC